TCCTTTCCTCAGTTGTCAGGCTTCAGCGTGCCATTTACTTCTTGGCTATCAGTCCCTCGCACGTATTTAGCCTTGGATGGGGCTTACCACCCAATTGGGGCTGCATGCCCACGGCTTCAGCGTATCATATAATCAAAACATAACTAATTACTTAACAATGATGTGCCATCTATTTACAACCGATCGTCACCATGATGGTTTGCCGAGTGGCTGACGGACGCGTTGAGAACTCGTTGCTAATCCATGCTTTGTGTCCGTATCCACAATCCCACATGCCCTGATTCTTACCCCTCCTCTCCTCTTTGTGAACGAGGGCACACGTCACCCTTCTGAGCTACTGCACACGAGACAAGATATCCGAAGCGCACAGGGAGATGCGCACAGGGACATGGACTGGCAGCACCCACTCAACCCGACATAAGTTTCGAACCTTGCACTTGAAACATTGAGCATTTTGAGTGCATCCCTCCCCCCCTCCTTTTTTCCTGTTGGATTTCGCTGTTGCTGCTTGCCTTTTTCTCCACGTCTATTTCACCAATGCACTCGCGCTCCTGAGAACACCGAATACCTACACAAACACACACACACACACACACACACTCCCCCCGTACTTGCGGGCATGCCAGTGGGTATCCATGGCTGAGTGGGTGTGTAGAATGGGTTTTATGGCTGTTACAGATTAGTTTCTCAGACTTACTGCCATTCTTCTCAAGGGTTTGGACCGGCAGTCTGCTAGGATTGCAGGGATAGTGTGAGTAAAGTCGACCGAATACCTACGCACGCACACACACACACACACACACACACACACACACACACACACACACAGAGGCACACACACACACCGTGCGTGGGTTCATGTCAGTGGGTATCCATGGCTGAGAGGGTGTGTAGACTGGGTTTTATGGCTGTTACAAGACTAGTTTCTCAGACTTACGGCCATTCTTGTCAAGGGTTTGGACCGACAGTCTGCTAGGATGGGTTGGTGAGAGTAAACTCGGCCACTTTTCTCAGGAGAATCGCTAACACTGGGCGACGTGGCGAGTCCTTATCCATCAGTCAAATGCATCCTGGGCAGAATGTTGGGGTTTAACCTCCCGATGAGCCAGTGAAAGTCCGACGAAACAGTCTGGCACATCCATGCCGTATAGCGAACCTGACAACACCCACCCACACACACACACACACACACACACACACACGTACGTTTGTGGTAGGTACATGATATAGATGTTCAGCGACATGTCCAGAGATGGACCAGATAAAGAGAGAGATCAAGATATATAGATAGATACACATATAGGAGCACTTTCTTTGGAATTCGACAGCATCATCTTTCTAACATAGGTGGATAAAGATCGTAGACAGAAAAGCATTCCGATGCAAGTTTTTTGGGCCACAAACACCAATGAATGTGCTACTTTATGTGACGGAACACGTATGGAGATAACATATAAAATAATTTTGTAACAGAACATGTATGAAGATAGAATAAGATAGCAATGGGATAGAACATGCACGGATATATACTATATTATACAATGAGTTCGATCGCCAGACAGACATTGAAGCACAGGTGGGCTGATACATAGGGATTCACGTGCATTTTCTTCAGCTGCGAACCCCAGCTTCGTCTCTTCTGCACAGTTGCTTCCCTTTGATCTCCCCTAATTACACGCACATCTGATCCACTGCATTCTCCTTTTTTCTTTTTTCTTTTCCAAACGAAGCATCAGTGCAGGAAGCCTCAAAGGGTGGTAAAAGCACACACCCCGGATCAAGTGCTTTCCCCCTAGATGGCTCCTTTCCATAGGGTGATCCCAGATTCGAGGGCTTTCCCCCTAGATGGCTCCTTCCTCTTCGGGGGGGGGGGACGGGGGGGGACGGGGTGCACCCCGACCAACATGCCCATGCCTACACTACTCTGCAGTTCGCTCTTCGCCAAGTCACTCGCGATGCACCCGTTTTCTGCCGTCCCCGCATCCGATCGGCATGCCATTTGTCACCATATCCTTTCTTTGTTAGAATGGTTTAATCCCAGCCGTCCTTCGGTCCGTTCTCCAGAGCAATTGCTCAGAACGCTGTCCTCTTTTCTTTCTTCAGGTAGTCGTGCCGCAACAGACATCCTCGTAGCTTGTGCACTTTCCCCCCTCAGGATTGCCCACACTTGCCACTCCTGACCCTGTCTTTCAGACCACTTACGCTACTCCTGGCCTGGTTTACAGTAAGTCGCATGTTTTATTCTTGCGCAAGCCCAACGTCTTGGGGTTCAAGCATGTATCTCCCAGATGAATGCGTTCGCCTAGGGAGTTCCTTCGCAAAAGCACACACTTGCCTCTTGAATCTTGCAGCACCTCATCAAGACCCAGATTATCCTTACCCTGTGGTTGTGGTCCCTCCCGAATGTAGTCCACAGCTGGCCGGCAAACATACATACTGCAGGTCCATCCACGCGCAATATAACCCTCTCATGAGAACAATCTGCCACACGACCACTACCATCTTCACCAGAATAGAACGCCTAATCACTATAGCTGTATCTCTACTGGAAGTTCCCCACATACAGCTATAATTACCACCACGCGTTCTCGTCGGGTGAAGACGATATCTTTGCCCCAGCTCTAATCTCTTTCCTACGTGGATAACCTCTCTCACGATATAGTAAACTAATAAAAGCACTCTCTCTCTCTCTCTCTCTCTCTCTCTCTCTCTCTCTCTCTCTCTCTCTCTCTCTCTCTCTCTCACACACACACACACACACACACACANTCTCTCTCTCTCTCTCTCTCTCTCTCTCTCTCTCTCTCTCTCTCTCTCTCTCACACACACACACACACACACACACACACACACACACACACACACACACACACACACACACACACACGTGTACATACAACACAAATTGTTGAAGTAAATCGTAGGAGCAGAACATCGACAGGAGGATGGGCGGGGGGAGGGGCAAAATGACTTGTGACGACCAGGCACCCACAATGGAGTGCTGAACACACGGACCGATGTGCCATAAGGCCAGCAAGTACTGAACGACAGAGAAAATACCACGAAGGACCATGTACTTGTGCAACATCCTTTACAACAAAGGACCAGGCTGTTAGAAGAACCTGGGTAGGATGTGCGCAGTGAGAGACAAGGACACGTTCACACAGACAGAGGGGTTTGTGCGAGACTGTCGACGACCTTTGTGTGTGTATCTACAAGGGGGGGGGGAAGGGGGTTCTCCGTGTGTATGTATGTTGTCATGTTCGCTAATTCCACAATAAAAAGCACGACTGTGCCAGCCTGTTTCGTCGGGCTTTCACCGATTCATCCGGAGTTAGCATGTGTGCATGCGTGTGAGTGTGCGGTCATGTCCGCTAAGCATAACTCCACAGAGGAGCTATGACTACAACTAACAGTTTCATTTGTTGTTCTATCGCTGCCAGAGACAACTGCACACCGAAAAAAAGCATTGCTCTGACACAAACAGTTTCCCATGCGCACGCACGCGCTCGGTTGTGTTTGGGTCATTGTGTGTCTGTCTGTGTTCATGCCACCTAAACATATTTCCTCATGTCCACTGTCATCGTTCCGGAAGGTAAGGAAGCAATCACACGCTACGCAACTGATCCCGGTAGCTTGCCAGTTATTATGGTTCATCTTCTTCATTCTCTTCTCATCCAGTCAGAATTAGCTGCGAAGATGGTCGTCAGAAGAGCTTCCTGAGAAGCGAGCGCTCTGGAGCGGAAACACCACACCAGGCAGAAGAGACCGTTGGCGACAAACCATACTGATCCTCCTTGCTATTATTAGAAGACGCTGAAGTTAATACGACGACTTCGCGGACGCACTACCTGGCTGGTAGTCCACTGATACTCACACTCATGTCTTCGATCAGTACGTCATTACGTCAATCAAACTGACCACAAGACGTTGTTGTTGCCCAACAAGGACTATCGTATTTGTGAACGCTTTCCAAGAAGGTGTTAGCAATCTTACATGGCCTCCAATCGGTCGGATCATTTCCGCTTCGTTCTATGAGAGCTCCGGCAGAGCTTCCAGCTCGCTACTTCATGCCTCGCCGCATCTGATAGTCTTCTCCTGGTGCTTTGATTCTTTCGGTCTCTAAACTCCCTCCTTACTCTCTGCTTCGTTTCCTCGGCTACCTCCTCCTCCCCCGCTTTTTCTCCTTCCCTTCAGTAAAACACTCTGTCGGCACTTCAAGAGGCCCCGACTGCATGTGCAGAGTTCTCTTCTGAATGGCGCACCCACCTTGACCACCGCGTTCATCGCCGATTCACCTACCCTCCACCCGTCTAAATTGGCCCTTGAGAATCGTGTACATTTAACGTCAACGGCCGAACTGAAGTGGGGGCGCGCAATTGTATTGACAGAAAAGAAGTGCGTGCTATCGCACGTATGGTGTGCCGTCATAGTGACGCTGAATAAAGTGGGGGCGCGCAATTGTATTGCAGAAAAGAAGTGCGTACTATCGCACGTATGGTGTGCCGTCATAGTGACGCCGAATCACGGCCACATTAGGGTTTATGGTCAGCTGCACTGGGCAAAGTTCCATAGCATTGGCCACATTTTAAGGGCTGCGGTATGGTCTGCAGCCGGTCAGGGTTGCGTGTTATGCCCTTGAGACCTTAAAGGTCAATTCAACTTTCAACGTATTGGTCTTTCTTTCCGGACCCTCGAATTTTGAGGTGAGGGCTTAGCAAGGGGCATATGAAAGACCGGTAGCTGCCCACAGCAGGCCGAGGAGGTGGGAATTTCCAAATAGAAATGGCGAGGCCGACGAGCCACGGTCCTTGAGTTTTTAACATCTTGAAATCCCAATGGCATGGGTCCACTATTCAATTGTCTACCGCGTGGGCGCTGGGAACGCAGCCCTAAGGTAACCAAAGCAATGACACTAAGAGCGCACACAAGAGAGAGAGAGAAAGTTTGGTTCCATTTATTGTTGTGAGTGTGAGAGAGAGACAAGAGTGCGAGAGAGA